AATCGCAAGAGTCCCCAGGACAACCGGAAGACTTACCGCTTGAAGCAGCAAGAGCTATACAGTGGCACCCGTGTTCGTCACGCCTCCCCTGCAGAGATTCGTCGTCAAAAGTCCCAACATGATTTGCTGCAAGGGGCTTTGACCTCGGAAGCCTCGTCTGTACAATGGTTGCTGCAGCACAAATTCATTCACAGGCCTCGCACTTGCGATGCTTGTGAGCAGAAGAAGCTCTACGAAGTCTTCGAGTCTGACCACAAAGGACCTGTGGAAAAAACATTGTTTTTGTTTTTGAACTCCGGCATCACTGTTGAAACCTCATGAAAAAAGCGAACCAGCCGCTATGTGGGTACATGTAGCTCACCAACTATTTGCTTTATGAAGCAAGTAGTTCAGATTCTTGACTTTCGAAGTTGTAATCCAGAAGGGCCTCATTGGCGTTGCAAATGTGGCCGACGTATGGGCTACCTCTCCCAGTCTCTGTTTCATGGTTTGAAGATATCTGCGATGTTGTTGGTGAGGCTCTTGCATTTGTACATCACGGTGGATTTGCAAGTGCAATGCAAAGTGACGGACCTGGTGGCTCATTGTGGCTGTTGCAAGGAGCAAGCCTTGCATTTCCTTGCCACAGAAGCCCATGCTGGTCGTCAATGGGCAAGTGAAGTTCGCCTACGTGGTGACATCGAAGTCGACGCCACGGCTTTTGGGAAGTTCTACATCTCCAAGAAATGTACAGCCTTTCGCGCCCAGATAGATGAAATTCAAAGTCGACGCCGCCAACAGGGCGAACGTGATGCCAAAGCCTTTGTCGTCACGCTGCAAGTGCTGGGGGCCATGGAACGGAATGGGAGCACTCTCCTCCATCTGAGCGATCCTCGTGTGCCTCGACTTGTTTGCATTCTTTAGTTTTTCTTCACAATGATGTATTTATCACAGATCTTGTGGGTGTCTGTGCACCATGTCACGTCTAGCATGTCTGACCACTTCCATACTGTGGTTGCTGAGGTTCTTCCCGTGGGAGTCCGGCCGCCTACGGAGTCTCTGCTGGAGGTCAGACTTAGCAAATTGCTTGACTGCGTGGTGAAAAAAAATCCACTGTGTTCGCAGACGGCAATAGTGCCTGGCGCACGGAGGCTCGGCGCTTGGGCTTCAGACATGTGGAAGTTTGCCATCAAAGAAAAGAGTTCGTTCGCAAGGACAGAAAAAAGAAAGGCCAGACAGGCTCATGTATGGCTGGCACCCAGAAGTTAGATAGATGTTGGCAAGCTCTAAAGAAATTCGTTCCTCAGTCCTTTCCTCGGAAGCTGGGCAAGGCTGAGGCTAGCAGATTGCATCCGGCCATGCCACTTTTCGTGGAACAATTCATGTGGCGGAAGTCCGTGGGCAATGTGACAGCACAAGGCTTTCTGTCTGAGTTGGTGAAGATCTTCCAGAGCCGTGGTCGCAACTGAAGGAAGAAAAAGATTTCGCAGTCGCCGGCGATGGTGCAAAACCGAAGTAGTTTTCTCAATTTCACGCAATGTCATTTTGACAAGTGGAAATCAGAAAGTGGCAGTTTTACCTCAGTAACGTGCACATTTGCTACATTCCAAATGCTCAAATTCCTCACGGCCCCGAATCATGCTGGGGGAGGAGGGTGCGTCGAGGGAAGGTTTTTTGAGGTTGTGTTGGAGGTTATTTTTGAGGGGTGGTGATGCAAGACATGCAATCTGCCTCATTTGCATCATCTGAATGGAAAGGTGTAGTTGGCACCTTGCCAGGTATAGAGACGCAGGGTAGCTATAGTGCAGCTACCAGGTATAGTACTTCAAGTCCCCTTTCCGTCAACCGCTCGATAACCTCTACACACGCACAGCAATGCACAGCTTTGAAGTCTCATTCGTGCTTTGAACTTGTATAGGTGTGTAAGAGGTATAGCAACATAGTATTTATACGGACCCAGGGTAGCTACAATTCTGTTCCCAGGTATGGCGCGCATGAGGCTTCAAAGCTGTGGTTTTCAAGCTACATTCAAGGTGGCCTGAGACCAGGGTTTGCTGCCCTAAAACACTCTGTTCAGGCCACCTTGAAAATAAGGGTGTAGTTGGCACCTTGCCAGGTATAGAGACCCACACTGTAGCTACCAGGTATAGTACTTCAAGTTTCCTTTCCGTCAACCGCTCGATAACCTCTACACGCGCACAGCAATCCACAGCTTTGAAGTCTCATTCGTGCTTTGAACTTGTATAGGTGTGTAAGGGGTATAGCAACATAGTATTTATACGGACCCAGGGTAGCTACAATTCTGTTCCCAGGTATGGCGCGCATGAGGCTTCAAAGCTGTGGTTTTCAAGCTAAATTCAAGGTGGCCTGAGACCAGGGTTTGCTGCCCTAAAACACTCTGTTCAGGCCACCTTGAAAATAAAGGTGCAGTTGGCACCTTGCCAGGTATAGAGACCCAGGGTAGCTACAGTGCAGCTACCAGGTATAGTACTTCAAGTTCCCTTTCCGTCAACCGCTCGATAACCTTTGAAGTCTCATTCGTGCTTTGAACTTGTATAGGTGTGTAAGAGGTATAGCAACATAGTATTTTTTACGAAAGCCAGCCTTCGTAGAAGGCGCCAGCGGAGTTGTGTATGGCGAACGAAGTGAGTAGTTAGGGGGTCTGGGGGGGGTGGCCCGGGAAAGGTACACGTAAACTCGGCACATGCTGGGGGAGGAGGGTGCGTCGAGGGAAGGTTTTTTGAGGTTGTGTTGGAGGTGATTTTTGAGGGGTGGTGATGCAAGAAATGCAACTTGCATCATTTGCATCATCTGAATGGAAAGGTGTAGTTGGCACCTTGCCAGGTATAGAGACCCAGGGTAGCTATAGTGCAGCTACCAGGTATAGTACTTCGAGTTCCCTTTCCGTCAATGGCTCGATAACCTCTACACACGCACAACAATCCACAGCTTTGAAGCCTCATGCGCGCGATACCTGGGAACAGATTTGTAGCTACCGTGGGTCCGTATACAAGCTATGTTGCTATACCTCTTACACACCTATACCAGTTCAAAGCACGAATGAGACTTCAAAGCGGTGGTTTGCTGTGCATGTGTGGCTTGAGAAAGATATACGTAAACTCTGGAAGGTGATGCTTTGATGCTTTTGGAGCGGGTGGTGACGCACTCGCCAACTATACCCTTCAATAGGTACTCGAACAGCTCAAATCCAGAAGATTCTGAAAATGGCCTGGCTCCCATATGAACCCTGGGAAGACTGGGAAGCGAGGAGGTGGAAAGTCCTTTGCTCTCGCTTCGCAGACCTTCATTTTCAAGGTGGCCTGAACAGAGTGTTTTAGGGCAGCAAACCCTGGTCTCAGGCCACCATGAATTTAGCTTGAAAACCACAGCTTTGAAGCCTCATGCGCGCGATACCTGGGAACAGAATTGTAGCTACAATGTCCGTATACAAGCTATGTTGCTATACCTCTTACACACCTATACAAGGTCAAAGCACGAATGAGACTTCAAAGCTGTGGTTTGCTGTGCATGTGTGGCTCGAGAAAGATATACGTAAACTCTGGGGGGTGATGCTTTGATGCTTTTGGAGCGGGTGGTGACGCACTCACCAACTTTGCCCTTCAATAGGAACTCGAACAGCTCAAATCCAGGAGATTCTGAAAATGGCCTGGCTCCCTATATGAACCCACAATGTGCATCCTTTGCTCTCGCTTCGCAGACCTTCATTTTTAAGGTGGCCTGAACAGAGTGTTTTAGGGCAGCAAACCCTGGTCTCAGGCCACCTTGAATTTAGCTTGAAAACCACAGCTTTGAAGCCTCATGCGCGCGATACCTTGGAACAGAATTGTAGCTACCCTGGGTCCGTATAAATGCTATGTTGCTATACCTCTTACACACCTATACAAGTTCAAAGCACGAATGAGACTTCAAAGCTGTGGTTTGCTGTGCATGTGTGGCTCGAGAAAGATATACGTAAACTCTGGGGGGTGATGCTTTGCTTTTGGAGCGGGTGGTGACGCACTCGCCAACTATACCCTTCAATAGGAACTCGACTCGAGCAGCTCAAATCCAGAAGATTCTAACAAAAGCCTTGTCACAGAAACACCTCAGGACCCTTGCTTCGCATATCTTCATTTCTGAGGTGGCCTGAACATATAGTTTCGGGCAGCGAGCCTCTGGTCCCAGGCCACCTCGAAGTTTGGTGCATTGTTTGGCTTTTGCTTCATCTGAATGTGGATGGGAATTATCTATGTGTGAAGTCAGTCGGGGGTCGGGGGGGGTGGCCCGAGAAAGGTATATGTAAACTCTTGGAGGTGATGTTTTAGTGATTTTGGAATTTTGGAGCGGGTGGTGATGCAAGAGTGCATTTTTTGCTTTTGCATGGTTACCTATGTGTGGGCAGAACAAGACATGAAGCAGATTTGACACGCGGCCGCAAGCGGCTGCGCGAGCTCATTTGATTGCTTCGACGCGCAGTTGTCGAGAAAGGGAAGCGCTGGCTTTCGTTTTGCAGCTTCTCAGGTCTTGACATATCTTGACATCACTTGTTCGGTAGATGAACCCCCCCTCTGCCAATTGAAGCTGAAAGGGCTGCGCAACAACAACATTGTTAGGTGGACATCTTCAACAGGCTCCACCAAGTCAGATCGCTATTAGGTTGGAGGCCATCGCTCTTAGGTTAGAGGCCAATTCGCTTCTAGGTAGGGGGCAGAGCGGCCTTTTAAAACATGCATTTCATTGATGATGTGTTCTGGCGACTTCCGGTGTCGGGAATTCATGGAGCTTTGACGGACTCAGGAGCACCTGTGACGATGTCTGTATGATTCTGCCAATGATCCCTGACTCAGTGGGGGCGCTGATTATCTAAAAGCCGCCGACCTCATGGTCGCCTTGTTTGAAGGTTAATTATCCCGTTTTCGCAGATCCATTTTGGGTGTCTATTGAAGCAGGGACGACCACACAAAGATCTGAAAGGGAAACATCGACCAGAACTGTTTGCCTTTTCCAAAACGCACTCAAAGGCCATGGCCTTTGTGCCTCCGGCAGCTCAGCCACAGACCTATGCGCACGAGGCGGGGAAAGCACGCATGCACGGCTGACCCCTGGTTGGGTTGTGAAATTTGGGTGTGTAAGTTGATAAAAGTTGTGGTTGTTTCTTTTGCGTTGGTGTTTTGATGTTGTCTAATTTTGATTGTTTGGGACTCGTTTCAGTCCAACATTTTCATCAGGAAGGTTTCAATGGTTTTCGCAACATTTGACAACCACCCAGTTTCCTGGGCCCAGGAACTACATGACGATTTTTCAGCCTTGAGGCGTTTGCACTTAGGAAGGTTCCTTCAGTGCTCCCTGCTAAGTCATTTTGTTTCCCCCAACACTCACGGGCCTCACGCCTCTGCATGAGGCCTCTGCTCCAGCGTTGGCCAAGCCTGTCGAGGCACTGCATGAGTGCCATGCGCCTGCATGGTGACGTTGGGCAGCAACAGTCACAACATGAGGACCTGTAGGATCTACAGACGCAACAATTGCACTTGCACTGCCTGAAACAACAAAACAACATGATTGAATTTTCCTTGCCAAGGCGTTTGCTATGATTGTTTGGGATAGTTCCCAAAGGCAATCGATCTATTTCGTCATGTCCCATACACAGATTGATGTTCCTGATTCATGAGGAACCATCTTCTGCAAATAATTTCTTTCACGGGCGAAGCGAGTCAGCGGATTTTGTTGGGTTCTTTGCATCGATTTCCTTGGGATGTTTCAATCCAGCGAGTTTCCGCGTGCCGTGCCATGCCCCAAGAACCGAAGTCCAAACGAGTCCATTCTAAAGCGCAGCTGACAAAATAGCTTGAACTTGTGCTGGCAAGAGCTTTATTCAACGATCAAAACCAAAGTCCAGAATGGATTGCAAACACTTTAGTTTAGCATGCTGCAAAGGCTTCTCCTTCACTACAAGAGCACCAGCACAAACCCTCCCAGACGGAGGTGGAGTCTGTGGAGGTTACTGCCCATTTGACTTTTGACTTCATTGAGTTGCTCCATAGGTAATTCACAGAAGAAGTGAGGAGAGGTGTTTGGTTCCATGATGTTTCCTATACTATAGGTTTTTCCTCCGGGTAACAATAGGTTTTTCCCGCAGAAACAAAGCCTAATGATAGTCTATGCAACCGTTTTAAGCCGTCGATCCCACAACCAAAAAGAGCTTGTGGCCATGATCCATCGCACTTGGGATCTTGCAAACTCAGCAAAAAATGACTACCTCATCAAGCTACGTCATCATCTTGTCAGCTTTCTTTCCAGCCAAGATTGTTGAAACATATGAGTTGTATGATTAAGGTGAGATATATGAGTGGTATATTTTCCGGGTATCTGAGGATTGCTCTATGATGAGTTGTACTATGATTATTCCATGACTATCTATGAGTGGAATATGAGTGGTATGAGTAAGAGTGGTATGACTTGGGTCTGTTTGAACCTACCTGTCAGAGTCAGTAAACAATTATATATATATATATCACATATTGTCACTTTTCAGAAAGGCCTGCAACCTAACCTAACCATCATGGTCCATTGTTCCTGGTAATAGGATAGACCTAAAGGCACGGTATGAGTATACCTAATAAATAGTACAAAACACTGGTATGCTCTACAGGAAACGGCCCAACATGGACACCACGGATCAGACGATTTCTCCTCCTCCTCTGCCGCTGTGACTCCAAGGGACCCGCGCGGATTCGGACGCGTCAGGAGTCCACGGGGTCCACAGGGCCTGGGAGCTGAGAGGGAGAGGCATCTCAGGTTTGCCAGTGAGACGTGAACGTGTATCAACGCCTCCAACCTAATAGCCATGGCCTCCCAAATTGTGATGGCCTCCAACCTAATAGCAATGGCCTCCAACCTAATAGTGATGGCCTCCAACCTAATAGCGATGGCCTCCAACCTAATAGTGATGGCCTCCAACCTAGAATCTAGAAAAGAAGGTATGTGCCATAATGTACGTAGACTCTTGATCAAACCTCGTCCAAAATGCATTGCAAAAGCTTTTCATATGGTACATTAAGGATTTCAGAAAACCCAAATAGCGGGAAGGTACTTGGAACCCCAGGGTATGTGAATTTGGTGAACTAGTTGTGAACGTTTTATGAATGAGGCTCAAGTTAAGCAACATGTTTATTTGCGAATGCAACATAAATCAACATAATAAACCATCATTCTGTCAATATCTTCATTTGCATCATCGTCATTTATGAAGAAAACACGACAGGCTGGTGCTTTTGAAGTCTTTTCAGGGCGTTGCGGGGCAGACACCTGACCTATTTGTAAATTGTAGCATTGTCTAGTCCAGTGTTTCCGTTTGAGCGTCTCAGGTGTGTGCACCCTGGGTGGAGCATGCGCACCGGGGTAAATCCAATGCTGCAACTCCTGATTCATACTGTTCTTCACGTCAATGTGTTTTTGCTTTCTAAAATCGTTCAGCGCCATTCAGATGATATGACTTGGTCATATGAACTGATATGATATATATATAATTATATGTCTCACGAGCTTGCTTGCCTCCTCATGCTCGTTTTCTGGCCTTCAAGTGTTGTGGCTCGTTGGTTGCTGAAACTGGTGGACCCGGTGGACATGAAAAACTCTCAAAGTCATGGGCCATCAACCAATTGCTCTCATTTTTGATGGACTCCTGTTAGAGAAACATGTCCATCAACCAAGCTTGGCTTTGTTGCTCGGCTTTTTGCGGACCAACCATTGTCAGTTCTCAGTTTTTATTTGTTCTTTTAACGGACAAAACTTGGCAAACGAGTTGGCCCCCCACCAATCTACCAACTGGTTCATCGGAGGGATATGATTCCACTTGGAGGTTCAAGTTCACTTCACCCTTGCAGGTTGGAGGCCATCGCTACTAGAGCGGAGACCCACTTCCCAACCGCCATTTGTGAAGTGTTCGGGACTTTGGACAAGGTTCTCCCTGGCCCTTGGCGCCAGCGTGGGCTATGCGGCAGCAGCGGTGGGCGCCGTGGCGCGCCAGGCCAAAGCAGCCTTTGGGTGCATTCAATGTGCATTCATTGATAAACCCTTTCCCTTTGAACTGAACCGCCTCTTCAGATGGTGGGGTTTATCATTCGAGAGTCTACATTACCCTGCTTGATGAGCCTTTCTTTGTCGAAGCTAGTTCTCGGGTTTTGTGCCATCTACCTGGTATACCCATTGTCCTTTAGTCACTTTAGTCGCCACCCACAACAAGGCCTTTACTAACCATGGTTATCCACTGTTACTGGTAGTAGGATAGACCCAACATATAAGAAGACTCTATGAAGTGAGCCATGTGAGCCGTTGGGTTCGCCCACACTCGGCCGCTCGCGCCGCTCTGCAGGGCCGTGTGGCCCGAAAAGCAGAGAAGGCTGCAGTGGCCAGGAGCGTTTGTTTGGGGCTGTTTGTGTTAGCATGGGGCTGTTTGTTTGGTAGGTAGTAGAACCCCATTCCGACCCCATGATATACATATAGAGTTCGTATCTATGGGTCGTGCATGAGATGTTTACAGATGTTCTACTGTATATCTGTTCTTACATGACTCGTAACATGTACATCGAACTGCTGCGTTGGATTCCAAGGTGCTTCATGATGCTGCTTGTTTCTGATCGTATCTCGGTATGTTGTTTGTTGCACTGAAACCTGAGAGCAACATAGAACCTGAGAGAACTGGTCACCCAGTCCGATCGGCATGTGTTGCCAACCCATTGCCCTCAACAAGAATACTGCCACCAGGCCTTCCATCAGCAGTCCAGTCCTTTTCCGAGTGGCCACCTTGACATCCAAGAAGTTGTGAAGAGCACATCTCATCACCCCAAACTTTTACCCCACCGGACCATCAGCTCACTCCCTCACTCCACATGGCCAGAGTGGCCCTTTTCCCCGCGGCCCAATGGCCACCTCCGGTTTCAGAGCGTGCGAAAACAGCCGTGGTCGTCGAGCGCTTCGACGCCCGAAGTGCACTCTCCGCCGTTCCTCCGCCGCGGTCCTCCGCCGCGGTCCTCCGCCGCGGTCCTCCGCTTCTCCGCGGCGTTCCGGGTGCAGATGTGCGGTCCGAAAGGACTCCGGTGGCCTATCCCATTTTCACCTTCCGTTGGTTGGCCGTGCACGCCCTGGTGGCCCGGGATCCCCGGTTGGTCGTGTCGGATTGGTCGTTCGGGAGAATCGGGGAGACGGGGAAGCAACGATCCCCAAGGATTGGTTCGGGAAGTAGACCAACAATCCATTGGGCCAGGGGGGTCTCAATCTGGTAGACCAACAGCCACGAGGCTTTTCGGGGGATTTGGAGTTTGCAAAGATCTTAAATACGATGGGGTCGGTTGATTGAGACCATGGAGGATGTAAAATAGACTTGTCCTACATCAGACTGCTTTTGTTTAGGGAAGACGGGAGAGATGGCGTACAGAACGGGGTTTCCAGCGAAGCACGACAAGATATGACAAGCCACTTTCTTTCTGCAGCTGACGTTCTGCAGTAACCCTGTGATTGACCATATTTTGACCTTTCACGCCAGGTGCAGAACGCACATCGATGGCCTCCAACGTGATAAGTAATACTAGACCTTTCTTTCTTTTATTTCCTTTTCTTTTCTCTGTGTTTCTAATAGCAATGGCCTCCAACTGAATAGCGACGGCCTCCTGGCTGCGAAAAACACCCCAACCATCCAGGTTCACAAGGAAGCGCAGGCGATTTGGCCTCTTAAGTCCCGATTGTGTCCCACATTGTACTCCTGCATTGCCGCGCTTCACTTCTTCATTTCATTACATGGAATCACTAGCTAGATTTCGTTTTAAACATCTCCCATCACTGTTCACATCCTGTGTTCAAGTGTGTTGGCCTCCCCCCAGAAACTTTGAAAGGAACATGATCTCACGGTTGTCCGTGCGACATTGGCTGACCAAGATTCCCACCGTCTTCTTCCTTGGTGCGATCAGCTCCATGCAGTTCATCCAGCGCTGAGTACATCAACAACACGGCAGACATCGACCTGTCGACCGTCGCGGGAGGAACACCGTTGACTCGGGTCGCGTTGACTCGGGTCAGCGCGGTCCACGCGCACGGTGACGGGGAAAAAGACATGCAGCGACATGTTGCAGGCGTTTTGAGAGGTCCATACGATTTCGAGCAGAACCACAGATCTCGGGTAAGAAAGTGTAGAGGTGGCCTTGAACATGGAAAGACTTAATATATTTAAGGACAACTTCCAGTTTCTGAAAAGAGTCAGGCATTCACTGGGAATGATGATCATCTTACTCATCATGACCATCTCAAAAGTGGGGTCTAGCTTCTAGCTGCGCCATCAATCAACAGCCGACCAAACCGAAATGCCATAATCATTATCATCTTGATCATTTACACCAACTTCAGCAGACAATGTCCAAGCATAGGATTTCCACACCAGATGCTCATGATTGCTCATGGAAACTCCAGGTCTGGGTGTATGACCTACATTGAGGGCTTGGGAGTGTGCTGCGAGTGTGGGCTACTTAGGGTTGGGGAGAGAGTTTTTTCATGTACAGGGCCACGGGGTGTAGTGATCAAAAGGTCCAAACGATTTCGACTGTCAGACCCGTGTCGCTGCACTGATTTTCTGGCAGACCAGCTGAAAATCCAGCGGTCGCAGCCGGGCCTAAACCAGGGAATTTTTGCGAGAAAAGTGATGTCTGCCGCATGGATATTTGGCACCTGCTAGCTTACCCTGACCTGACTGCACCGCGATGTCTGCTCGGGGCAATCGTGGGATGGTGGTCAACCCTTTAGTGTGACGGCCAGAAGGTCGACGATCGCCCACAGGACCTGTAGTCCTGTCACAGGAAACTCGACGTATGACAGGACCAAAAAAACAGATGGAGGATCTCTCAGTGATTCTCAGTGGTTGTGTATGCGAAGTGCCATCCATCAGGCAGGTTGAGTGGAGACCAACACTGGCTTAAGCCATCAGATACTGTATATCAGACATCATAGTGTTGATTGCCGACACTTGCCAATTGCTATCCTCCTTGCGTACATGCGAAGCAGAAACGACTGATGCAAGCACATCATCATCCCCTTAATGATCACCTGTAAATGTGTGGGACAATATCCATTTTTCGCTGCTCTTGGTGCAGGTAAAAGGTATTTCTTTGATCCGCGAACAAACTAAACAGCCTGTTGCGCGTTCGCAACATCTACATAGAGAAGACAGACTTTGTGAAGGCCGCCGTAAGATCCCGCCCGCCTGTCTCTGGCCGTCTTCTTTGCAGGTGTTTGGCTCCAACAGGTGACCCCTTTTGTGCCTTGCTGTAGCTCGTTCGCTACCTGAACAACCATGTTGCGAGCCGGGAGACCAAGAGTCGAGTCCGGGAGACCACGGCGGACTCTCCCTTCCTGTGGAGTGACGAGTCTGTGTTTAGCTCCAAAAGGTGTGGAGCAGGTTGAAGCAAAGAGAATGTCCATGAATCATGTTACTAGTAGTAATGCCCTTGTTACTAGTAGTAATGCCCTTGTTACTAGTAGCGATGCCCTTGTTACTAGTAACGATGCCCTTGTTACTAGTAGCGATGCCTTTGTTACTAGTAGCGATGCCCTTGTTACTAGTAGCGATGCCCTTGTTACTAGTAGCGATGCCCTTGTTACTAGTAGCGATGCCTTTGTTACTAGTAGCGATGCCCTTGTTACTAGTAGCGATGCTCTTGTTACTAGTAGCGATGCCCTTGTTACTAGTAGCGATGCCTTTGTTACTAGTAGCCATGCCCTTGTTACTAGTAGCGATGCCTTTGTTACTAGTAGCGATGCCCTTGTTACTAGTAGCGATGCCCTTGTTACTAGTAGCGATGCACTTGTTACTGCTATAGCTTCTTGCTACCAGTAATGCACTTGTTGAATCCACGGGTTTTGTTGGCTTTGTGATTACATGTTTGTATTTTCACGACGTGGGTGTGGACAGCATCCTTCTTTTCCGCAACTCGAAGCCATGGTGCAGATCTTCTGATTCGGCTTGTCAAAAAGGAGCCGCGAACGGGGATTTTAAATCAGGTTGCCGACCTCTCGCAGTGCCCGCTGTGTTGAAACCACATGTTTCAACAGGAGGTGCCATGGAATGCCGTGAAATACACAGGTACATCAAAGGGCAGGAGAGGATATCAATGTCATGCTCAGTTGGTGGTTTGTGCCTGATCTTATCATGTCTAGCGATGGCCTCCACCCTAATTAATAGCGATGGCCTCCACCTAGTAGCTTCTTGTTACTAACGTAGCTACTTGCTCCTAGTAGTACGGCCAGGAGCCCCGTTTGTAGCGTCCGATCGCTCCGTTCGTAGCGATGCCAGGAGCCCCGTTCGTAGCTTGTTGATTCTTGTTACTACAGCCGTGGCTGCTGGGTGTGGGTGATCTTCCGCCCCGTCACCCCTCATCACCTCCGAGGCCATCCTTCTCACGGCCCTCTTCGGCGCCGACGGGACCCCGAGAGAGTGGAGTTGGAGTTTTCATGTTTCATAGAGGGAGACTCTCAAAGGGGGAATATTGGCTGCACAGCTCACCTTGATATTTTAGAGGACATTTTTATCGCGGAAACAAAGGGTGAGCAAGAGTGTGAGAGAGCCGGAGCCTGTTTACAGGCGCTTGATTCGTACAGTGGAAGACCTTTGCCAAAGGATACCTAAGATCAAGCTGCAGCCTTTCGTGTACCCTGGGGATGGAGGCTCCTTTCCTGCCTTCTAAAATTGAATCCATGCATACCCAACCTCACCTAGCCTCACCGAAATCCCGGACCAGTCGGGACACTGGTCCGCCCGACATGAACCGAACCAGGAGCAGGTTGCCCATGAAGGGTGCCCCATTTCCGAGAGATGTCCTATCCAACATAGATGGATCATTTCTGTGTATCAACACAACAGCATCAACCAACTGCTTCTTAGATGAAACGTCATGGGGCGCGTCACCGCACGGAGAGTTTCACTCCTCACACCGTGCACCGCTCCGCAGCGTGGCCTCCGTTCCTCGCTTCCGCGCCGCTCGAGCGGTGTGTTCGCCCGAGGCCATGGCCTTCGTGGCGCCGAACGTGGGAACCGACGCACGCACCGCACGACCGAGCCAGGCCGTGGGCGGGGCAACGCGACGGAAGACACGCGACGGTGGGAAGGACGCAGCAAGAACTGACCGGTGTTGGTTTGAGTGTTGCTTGGGGTACTCTTTTGATTGAAGTATGGAAGGTGATGTTATTTGGGGGCACCCGGGGTTTGACAGTTGGCCTTTCTTTTGGATTCAGATGAGCTAAGAATTGGTCCTTTCCCTCGTTTGGTCTCACTGATCCAATTCCTTTGCCGTTCATCCGGCATCCAAAAGTGGAAAGCGGATGACTTTCACGACTCTGTCGCTGGTTTTTGAGCCTTGAGAGTCTCAACTTGAGAGCTGTTTTAAGCCACTTCCACTTCCACGACTTTCTTCCACTTTTGAGCCTTTTAACGACTTCGCAGAGCGCTTCCGAACTGCCACACTGCCGGCAGAGGCCTTCCGAGTTGGACCTTTCCAAAAATGGGACGAGATCGACCCGGTGTAGTGCAAAAAGGAGTGTAACTAGTCTCTTTTTCTTTTTTGGCATGAAGGCTAGTGTCTCGCGACGGACCTGCAACTAGTCTCAAATTGCGTAAACCATAGTCTGGTTGTTTGCTGAAGACTGTTGAACTCGGGCCAGGATTTGGTTGACCAGCAGAACTGAGATTCCGAAATCTCACAGTTCACCGGATGTGATTTGAGGTGCTCTCTCACCACGTGTCCAATTTTTGTATGGTTAGCAATTCCACAGCATGTTTGTAAGCACACGCAGCAGGAACCATGCGCAACCTACCCCTTGCCGAGCTGTCGTATACCACCAATAAAAAGTGCCACTGTAAATGGTGGAAAGGATCAACCATACGCCATGCCAAGAACCAGCCATTGGCCTGCCGGAAGCCTCCCTGGAATTCTAAGACTATATTGAAAGAGCGGTTTTGTACTGGAAAATACTTAGTAAAACAAGGGTGCTTCGGTGAACACCATTAACTCCTATTATGGTGGTTGGTGTGAACGAAGGCGCCATGCTCCCATGCGCCCTTTCCCAAACACCAGGCGAGTGCCAGCTTCGGTGCAGTGCCCGCCAGCAGCGAGGCATGCGGAGGGTGTCTGTAAACGCGGGCCGAAGGAAGAACACGGGTCTTCGACCTACTTGACTCGACCCGCGCGTGGCACCGCGTGAGCGGTCGCTTGGCCGCGCGCGTGAGCGGTCGCGCTAGGCCAGCACGACGTGGGGGAGCCCGGGCCCAGCACGACGTCATGGGTGTTCGGTGTTCGAAGTTGTTGGAGTCGAGGAGTCCCATCGAAAAGATGGTGATTCATTTTTTGGAAAAGGGCATTTTTTGGAGTTTGGATCCATGAAGTTCTTAGAGATCCTTCCAGGATCCATGAATGAAGGATCCATGGTTGGAGCCATGGCAACATCGATTTCACCAAGTTGTTGGATCAAGTGTTGAATCCTGCGGGTTCGCCCCAAGCTGGTGATCGAAGCCGACATGTCATTGGGTGTTAAGATTCAAGCAACACGTTCAACAAAAATCCACAAAGGATGCTGGATGAATCATAGCTCCAAATTGACTTACATGGCAAAGATGTGCAAAACATATATTGCAATAACCATTTCTTCATCTTCCAATCCTTCCCAGCCCCTCCAGGCTTCGGACGTTTCCCTTACGTCACCCTTTTGAACGCGCTCCCAGGTGCTCCTCCCTGTTTTTGGGCGTCAGCGTGGGCTACGCCGCCGCCGCGGTGGGCGCAGCCATGCGCCAGGCATGGCATGCGTGGCGCTCGTGCATGCGCGTGCGAATGGCCGTCGGCTGGGAAGTTGGGGTTTCATACCCGGGCCTTTCTGCGTTTGCAGCACCCCGTTTACCCGGTTTGATCTCTTCTTTTAGCAACCCCTTTAGAAGATGTTCTGCGGTGTGGGGAGGAATCCCATCTGAATCACCCCACAAGTGAGTGCTGGTACAGTGGATTTGGCATTTGGAGTCTTGACTAACGGTACCATCAATACCCTGAATCACAGCTGCCCTTAAACCATTCAGGTTTGGTGAGAAGAGACAAAAGGTGTTGATGCTGCTCCCTTCCCTGCTGCTAACAAGTGACAAACATGCTCTGAGCAGCTCCCCCCAAAAGTCTAGGTGGTCACGGAATCGCGTGGAAGTTTCATGGCGAAACTCGCACATCAGCGGAATCCACGGATGGGCAGATCCAGGTTGATCAGCTCATCACGTAGTTTTCAATAGTGTTCACATTGATTGGTTGGAAGACGTTAAGGAAGGTTTGTCCCTCAGCATGTGATCGTTGATTGATCCATAGAAATTGCTCTCCCCCAGAAACACCGCTCAAATTCGGAGATCTCCAGGTCAAACCTTTAGAAGGTTCGCATGAATCTTCTTCTTCCGCGAATGGTTCGCCGCTCCGCAGGGCCGCACGGCACGGATGGCCGAGAAGGCTGCAGTGGCCAGGAGCGGCGGCCTTCGGAGCACCTCCGAACTCGGCCGGCCGCCACTTCAAGCGGCTCAGGGCCGCACCGACCCAGCAGGTGTTCGGGGCTCACGGGGGGGCCGCTCCATTCGTAGACCGATCGGGCTAGGACCCACGCCAGTCATAGCTTCTGAGCAGGTGTTGGTGGGTGGGTGCAAAGAGCTTTTCTGAGGAGGCACGACTGGAGCTGTAGGGTTACTGTACATATATATATATATATGGATGGTTTGGGCAATGGATAGGAAACTGGGCGTGACTGGGGACCGTATGGACAATCGACAAGAAAGCCTAATCAACGGCGAGAAAGCACCTACTAAACCAGTTCCTTTGCTGTTGGTATCCGTGATTCGAGTCAGGGCAGGACACAGGAAATTGGGGAAGTCCTGGTTGTCAATGTTTGCAACAGGTTTCTTCACATCAACAAGGACCAAGTTGACCCTGAATGTCATTGGTTTGTAGGCGTTTGTTGGGTACGATATCCTCGATCGATTTTCACAATTTTGGCATAACTATCTTCTCGTGGAGTTCCCAACTTCTTAGAGATTGGCCCCCTTGAGCATCCTTGAGCTGTCTATTTAATGTCCATCTTCACCGTCGGGTCTTACGGGTTTGCCCCTGTCCCAGCTGCGTCCAGGACCCCAGTGGCCTACCCCATCTTCACCTTCCGTTGGTTGGCCGTCCATGCCTTGGTGGTCCGGGGCACCGAGGAGTGTTTTCGAGGGAACGCTTTGGTGGGTGCATTCCGTTGAATTGATCCGGCTCGGTTGATGGATTAGGTGGGTGTTCTCTCCAGCTTCGCGGATTTTGATGTGTCCAAATGTTCTAACACATGAACACTTACTTGCTGTAATTACCTTTTTTGACTTGATATTCAGATAAAGTTGGGTAACCCAGCAACAAGCACTTCTGGGTCACTCGGAACATCTGGCTACATTGCGGTGGTGACTCTTGGGTGTCACTGTACTGGTAAATACTTCGGGCCTGGAGGGTTTGCTGACTTCGGACAAGTCAACTGAAGCCGCCACACCCTTCGTCCATCTTCATCCCACAATCCATCGCAGATCCAGGTCCCTCTTAGTCGGACGATAGTTTAGTAGCGATGCCAGGAGCCCCGTTCGTAGCGTCCTTGCTCCTAGTAGTAAGGCCAGGAGCCCCGTTCGTAGCTTCTTGTTCCCAATAGCGGTGCCCTTTGCTCCTAGTAATAAGTAGCGTCCTTTGATCCGATGTGCCCGCAGATGCCTGCAGACCTTCCAGATCCGTGTCGTCCATGGTGGACAGATAATGACAGATACATAGGTCATAGGTCCATCAATCGGTCTCATCATTGCTATTTCCTTTGTTTCTATTGTTGCTGATGTGATATAATATATATTATTAGATACTATTATATTATATACTGCATGATTGAACATCATTGTGTTTGTCCAATTGAGCAGCTTTTGATAGCTTTTAAGAAAGCAAGATATTCTCATGTACTCGTTGCAATCGACCGAAAACCAGGCATGAATTCTTCATCGCCTCAAAACAGAAAACCGAGAACACCCGGAGTTCTCAGCGTGATTCTCGTGATCATGATAAAACCGTGCTTTTGTCCCGAAGAGAGCCGAGAGCCGACCAAGAGATCCGGCCGAACCAGATTCCCACCGTCTTCTTCCTTGGCGCGATCAGCTCCATGCAGTTCATCCAGCGCTGAGTGTGGAACGACACAGACCCGGAATTTTTCGGCGAAGGAAAGGGGCTGAGGGAGAATAGAAAGCGTGGGGTACTCGTAGACTACGAGGGACACAACAGGGAAATCCGTGAGAAAAAGTCGATAAGGCGGCTATTTGTTGAAGTCCAAAACATCATAGAAATGGAAGAAGTGGAAGAAAGACGTAGAAACTTGGACACGTCATGAATTATCTGCTAGATAGATAGATTCTAAAGCACATGCTGGGGGAAGAAGGAAGATGTTCAGTGTATATACATAGTTGCAACTTTGGTTGCACCTTCCACCCATCTCCATTCAGCAAAGGTTTTGGTTCCCACTTATTTGAACTGTCCACGGCGAAGTAGCCCTTCATGTGAAACCGCTGGTGCAGTTGATTTTGGCCATCCACAGAATGGCAGCTGTCCCAAAAACAGATTAAATACAACAACCAAATAGCTCTGTCGTGTTTTGATATGGTTCGTGCATGGGTTAATCGACAGTTGTATCAGCTAGTGTTTTTCTTTTGGAAAGGGCCTTCATTGCTGATGACAACATGGTGTAAAATGATTTCTTGCCTGGTGGCTGAAGGGCATACAGAAATGTATTGGAAGAGGAAGAGGAGAATGTTTGCAGCTGCTTCACGCAGCCTTTGGCTTCAAAGGTAATCAGGTGTCCACATCTAGTGCAATCATGTAGGCACTCGCCACTCGCCTTGATTGCAGCAAAACTGGCATCATCTGGCATCCTTTGGTTCAGTTTGACAGCTTCCAGGTGCATTCTACTACAAACCTTTCATTTTTTTTCGTGCGAGCTCACTAGATCTTACTGCGGGCTTCCTTGTGACCAGATCCTTCTCAATCTGCTCAGTCTAGCGGCTCTGCGCACGCGCCCGGGCGTGCGGCTTTGCGCACAGCTGCTCTGTGGAGCAGCTGGCGGCGAGCCCGCAGCCATGGTGCATGTGGATGTGTGGTCGTTGACCCTGGCGTCCCTGCAGTCCGTAGGGACCATCGCAGTGATGGCGCTCGCGGGCTTTTGGAGTCTTGGATGGACATAGGGTGGATGGATCCACCTGTGTGTTCCCTGGGCGGGATGAGATGGTGGTAGCATGTGGTAGCGTTTGGCTAAAAGGAACGTTTCCTTTTTTTTAAGAGAAGGATCTTTCAAGCTACAGTGTGATTCTCTCTGGAGAAAGGTATGTTAGATGTTTGAAAGTATAGAGGCTTCCCTGAACTCAGTAATTAGCCAAACATAGAGGCTTCTAGAGAAAAGTGTTTAAAAGTAGTTAGCGGTCGACCAAAAGACGACCAAACACATGTTTGAGGGTCTCTTCCTCTCCGTGCATTACGCAAGACGTATCTTCGGCAAGATGGTGGTGCGTGCCTGAAGTCGTGGGTACCAGATCCAGAGGACCCCGCGAGGACCCCGCGGACCCCGGACGGAAACCCTAAGACGAACGAAGACGACACGACGACACGCGGCCTGCCCGTTCCGGCTGCCGGAACAGATGTTCGGAATCCATGTGCAACTGAATACGTCGTACGTGTGGCGTTCGTCGTAGGTTTGCTCAGCTCGATGTGCATTTAGTGTCAAACATGTACACAAATGCAACATTGAAATGAAGGATAGGTCTGCAACAGATACCTGTTTGGTACGCCGCACCGTCGCACCGTTGCGACCTTAGGCATCATAAACTGAACTCTTGGAGGAAGCCTTGTGGAAGCCGATGTCAGCTTGTTGTTATGGTATGTTATGGTGCGAAAATGACACAAGAAGAGATGCTTAGGAAATCGCTTGCTTCCAATCTTGTGGCTGAAACTCTCAATTAGTAGCAGGAAACTTCTGATATTTGCTGCGCTACTGCTAGGGATCCAACAGATCACAGATCACCCCCCTCTTTCAATTCTTTGTTGGGGCGTGGTCACCGCTTCTATATCAGCCCAAACAGGGGCTAAGCCGAGGTAGAGTGAATCCATAGCATTCCTACAGTTTTGAACTGCCAACGTTGGTCAGGCTTGTGTGAACTCTGAATCCAATATTGTGTTGGAAAGTCTCCGATTTTCTGCAGGTCCCAGAAATTGGCTGGATCTTGGACCAACACCTTGCTGTCTTAAGGGATCGGGTCAGGTTTATTGCAGCACTCCCAATTACTGTAGGTACAAACTGGAAAGTCCAGGTATTTACTTAAGATTATTTAAACATCAACAGCCGTTAATCCTTTTTCAACCACCCATACGTTGATCAAGATTCCGGTCTCATGGAATCTGCGGAATCCTCGCCCAAGGCATCTATCTGTTTATAGTAAATCTCGACCACAAACAATAGACAGGATGGTTCTAATATGTTATATAATTGACTTGTTTAAAACAGTCACGACCAGTTATAGACACACTCCCTGGGACTCTCATGGACGATGGCACCACCAGTTGGGTCGAACTCATGGTGATCCGAACTCGTGGCCATGTTCCACGCAACCATGATCCTTCCAGGAATTGTACCATACAGAATGAAAAGGTAGATCCCCACCAACCAAAATGTCTTGGACACCGTGCCACTGTCTCTTTGGGCACCACGTGGTCCTTGTTTCCTTCGCGAAGCCACGAACCCGAAGACGGGGCGGATGGACGGCTCAGGATGACCCGCCTCGGCATTATCACCAACGAGGCCCCCGCGATGCGCCGCGGAAGCGCCAACGGATGTCGCTGCGTGCGGAGTGCGCCGACATCGAATCGGGTGGCGAGAAGGAAGGTGTGGAAGAGGGTGATGTGCGGCAAAAGCACGAAAGATGGCGTGACACCAAGACAGTGGCCTGACAAGGGTTGCTTTTTTCTTCGTTGATGTTCAGCTTTTAACATGTTTGACATGTGTCCGCTTGAAAGAAAAACAAGATTCTGAGCGTAAGTATGCAAAGAAACACTCCCGTTAAATCATAGCTCACATTAAATACACCCAAATCCGTAGCTCATATAGGTTGGAGGCCATCGCTAGTAGGTTGGAGGTTGGAGGCCATCGCTCTTAGGTTGGAGGCCATTGCAAGTAGAGATGACCTACTCAATTGTTGGTGCCCGAAATTGCCATTCGAGTGTGTTCTTCATATTGTTTTTGCTCTGCAGATGCCAGAGCTGATAGCCTCAGCTCATATGCCGAGCCTATGCCGCGAACAGATTGACCTCTTTCATGAAGGAATGCGTGTCCAATCTAGTAAGTTCAAGGAGAATACTGTGGGCAATATATTTGGCTCACATTGGCTCACTAAGTATACTTTATGCCTATATAGTAACTACTGCAATATACCTCACTAAGTCACGGGAACTTAGCTAGTTCAGGTGTATTTGCCAAGTCACAGGCATGTGCCGACGTCGCAGTGATCTTGGAAGCTTAACCTCAATCCGCGCTTGCAAAGTCGTGGGAATCATGTGTGAGCACCTTGAAGACGTAAACGTCAAGCCCTTCAGAATTTGCCATGTCCGGACCTAGTGGGTTTGACATATTGTACTGTAATTGTCTAGGGCTCCAAGTGCCTCCGTTTCCAAGATGGTTGGGGTGGGTGCCAGGGGGGTCTAACGGTCTAACCTTCTGAGGTTATGGTTGGAGCCCTAGGGTATTATATACGTACCGACGGCTGTACGTCGTCTCTTCCTCACTTGGAACAGGCCCAGTATGGTCTACCATAAGGTGGATTGGTGGATTTGTTCTGTCGTTCCTGGTGACCCACCCTCGAAGCTCCAGCCCTGATTATTGGATGCCAACATCCCTACTGGTCCATGCAGCGGTCCAGCGGCCCATCGACCGCAGGTGAGAAAGGGCCTGGGCGAGCTATCGATGAATTTGTTGCTTCCTTGTTTGATGTTCTCTCAGGCCGAACGGGAATGGAGTCTACGGATTATACAGTACATACATTGATATATTATATAGGTTGTAGGTGTTTGTGTACATATATATAGTACGGATAGGTAGTATCGACAGGTGTTTCAAAGTGGATCAACAACTCATGGTTATGCTGACTGATCTATGTGGACATGCAACGAGCCCCGTTGTCAGATGCGATTGAAGATCCTGAGTGCTGTATTGATAACACTTTTGGATCCTGGAAGTTGCATGTGTCTCTGATGTCCTGCTTTGCACATAGTAACTTAGAACACTTTGGGATCCTGGTTTGCTTGGCAGTCGCGACGGAGTCTCTGATTTCACGTCTTGGGAAAGGTCCAGAACCTGCAGTGGACATGTTCCACTGTCTGTTCGCCAACGTCCGTTGGCCCTTGGCCCGCGATGGCCTCCAACCTGATAGCAATGGCCTCCAACCTATTAGCTACTTTTCATACGCAGGTTCAATTCTGGCTGTTCAATCCATTTCTGGGTCAAGGTGCCCGCTTGAACCGAGTTTGGGCTCAGGGGCTCCTGGGCCGGCTCGCGGCCGCGCGTTCGAGCGGCCGCGCGTTCGTGCGTGCAAGGGCGTTCGAATGATGGACTGGAGACCTGCTAATGTAGACTCTTGAGGACCATAACCCCCCTCATTGAAGAGGATGTGAGCGCATTCAAAGGGGGGGTGGTATAAATCCTCAAGAGTCTACAGTCTACATGAAACTGTGAACCAGCTCTTCCACCCTCATGTTCTGATTATCTGGTCATGCCATCGTTTTGAAGCAACTGGAAAGAGTGGGAAACGAACCAGTCCCTGAAAAAAGAGTATGTTTTCTTCTACAAACGAGAGATGTTCCACTTCCATGTTGCAGGGAGGGTATAGATCATCTGACCCTGAAGACCTGAAGACAAACCAGCTGTGCCGCATGATGCACACATCTCGGCTGTGCAGGTGATCTACTGCAATACCATTACAACTCATGGCAGTCCCTGTCCCAACATGGCCCAGGCGTGCGGGGGCCGTGGGCGATATTTGCGCGGGCGCAGTGCGTGCGTTCCTTTGGTTGAGGAGAACACGCTCGCTACGGCATCCTAGGACCTACCGACCACGAAACATCAGTCTAGAGTCCTTTACTGGGATTGTCAGTCTAGAGGAAACGACGAGCTGGTGGTGAGGGAGCTAAGGAGCTGGAGGTATCCAAGGAGCTACAGTGAGTTCCCTATCCACTGGCTAGACTATGTTTGATCCAGGTGGAGCAGCTTGCTCCACCTGCCGCAAAACCCATATTC